GCCGCTCGACAACCCGCCAAACGCCCTTGACAAGCCGTGTGACCCACCTGACTCCCCACCCTCGGAAGGGGTGGCGGTCAGTGGACCTCTCGCAGCGCTCTCCACCAGCGTACAGAAGCTTACAGATGTTGTAAACTCTCTCCACACGCGCATGGACACCTGGGAATTGAGCAACCGCTTTGCAATCCTCCAGCGAGACGCTACGGACCCTCCCCCTCCGCCAGCGCCAGCAGTGCGTTCCTACGCCGCTGCAGCAGCCGCAGCCCGCCCAGATGCGCCTTCCGAACCGCCAGCAGCGCCCCGCGTTTCCGCTCCCTCAAAAACCCGCGCCCCGCACCTCCCTCATTGCCGGCACCGCGGACCTCCCCGCGACGCACTTCCTCCGCGCCCTCCCCGAGCACCGTATCCTCCCCTGCATGCGCAAGATGATGGTCAGCTCGTCCCTCAACCCCTCGACCCTCGTCTATGCCCGTCGCATGGAGAAAGGCGACGTACAACTCGTCACTCGCGGACCCTCGGCTGCCGACCTCCTCCGCCGCGCCCTCTCCGCCTACTCGGCCGAGATCTTGGTGAAGATGCCGGTCGAGGCAACGTTGTTGGTGCTGCACTGGGTGCCGGTCGATGCGGACGAGGTGGAGGTGCGAGAGAAGGTAGAGGAGTGGGTCGGCAAGGAGGGGAAGGTTGCCGGAGCCAGGTGGCTGTCGCGGCGGGCGGACAAGTCGTATGGGTCGTGATTGGTGGAGCTGTGCAACGCGGAGGACGTCAGCGTGATCCTGCGCGAGGCAGTCTGCCAGCTCAGACCCGGAGTGTGGGTAGAAATGGAGAGGGCCAAGTCGGTGGCGGAGAGGAGAGCCGAAGCGAGCCAGCGGGCAAACAGGGCGAACGCACCCCTCAATCCCGACACCCGCACATCCACCCCGGTCCACAACTCCGCCGCTCCCTTCCCCTTGCCCGATCCGACCATCCCAGCCCCGCCTCGCACGCCACCCCGCTCGACTGGGTACGCAACAATGGTCTCCGGGTTCCTCGGCACGACGGCGAGCCGAACAACTCGTCGCGGATGATGGTCGACGAGTCCTCAGCCGACGGCCCTTCCCGCTTCCTCGAGACGCCGTCGAGGGCATCCCTGCTCCCCCTCCCTCGTTTGCCGACCCCGACAGTCAATGACCTGCGACCCGAGCCAGTGGCGGACTGGTCGATGGATGTGGAAGAAGAAGGGGGCGGAAGGGAGGCGAGAGGCGAGTCGGAGGGGGAGGAGGACGTGTCGACGGAGACGGATGGAGCGGCGCAGCCGGGTGCGGGAGGCGTGAGCGAGAGGGACGGAAGGAAGACGGAAGAGAAGAGGAGCGAGGCGAAGAAAGGGGAGGGCGAGGAAGCGCCGAAGGGGAGGGAGTCGAGGAGGCTGGCGCTGAGGGAGAAGAACCTGTTGCAGACCGAAGGAGTGGTCAGCACTCGTTCTATCCCTCCTGCCAGGCGTGCTCTGCGCGTTCGCAGCGTCGTCTTATCGTCCGAGGACGAGTTGCTCCTCCGCCCCAACCCGCCGCCGCCGCCTTCGCAAGTGAGGAGGACGACGAAGACGAGCCTCCGCTTATGAGCGAGCTCGTCATCGTCACGTATAACATCCAACGCAGTCCACTCGTGTGGACGCAACTCGTCAACTCGCCTGCACTTCGGCGAGTCGACGTCCTCCTCCTCCAAGAAGTGCCCCGCTCCCCCCATCCTTTGCCGCGCGGCTGGTCCCTCGTCCTCCCTCCGCCCGTCACATACACAACCGACGAGCCAACTCACCCTCGATCCGCCGCGCTCCTCGCCCCTCGCTTTCCACCCTCCTCCTTCTCGCAACTCCCGATCGCGTCGAGAGACGTTGTCGGCGTCCATCTGCGAGTCAACGAACACGAGTCAGTACGAGTTGTCGGGGTGTACAATCCGTGTGCAGGCGGCCGCTCTCCGCCAAACCGCTCAGTCCGAGACGTCCTCCATGCCGTCCTCGCCTCGTCGCCGGCTCAGAGCACCCTCGTCGTCGCCGGCGACTTCAATCTCCATCATCCCGCCTGGGACCCGTCTGTCCTCGAAGCCGTCAACGAGGCTGAAGATGCGCGACTCACCTTCAAGGACGCTGGACTTGTCCACCTGCATGAGGCGAGCGAGGCAACCTGGTCGTCGTCGAGGTCGAGTTGGGTGCTCGACCTGGTGCTGGTGAATCTGCGCTCGGAGGAACGACTCGTCAGCTCAGCTGTCCACGAGAAGCTCGAGTGCGGATCGGATCACCGCCCAATACGCACCATCCTTGCGGTTGAACGAGCAGAGTGCCCGCCGGCCTACCCTCGTCGCCTTTTCCGCAAAGCCGACCCCTCAGCTATCCTACGCTCCTTCTCAAAGCTCGCCTCCTCATCCACCGCCCCTGAGGCCCTCCTTACACCAGCCGACATCGATGCCGAGGCCGAGGTCCTGAACTCGCTTCTCCGCGAGACCGTCTCGGCCGCCATCCCGCTGGCCAAGCCGGCGCGTTCACGCTTCGCGCACAGGTGGTGGAACGCTGAAGTCGCAGCAGCCGTCGAGGAGGCGAGGCGAGCGCGGACTCGCGCGTATCGACTGAAGGCGAGAAGAGGCGAGGGAGAGGAAGGAGAGAGGGAACTGGCGATACGGAAGGCGCGGATGGCGACGAATAAGGCGAAGGCAGTGATCCGGCGAGAGAAGAGACGAGCGGAACGGGCGGAAGTCGAGGAAGTTGATGAGGCATCGTTGTGGAAGGTGGTGAAGAGGAGATTGGGGGAGGGAGGATCAGCCGCCACGTTGACTCCGCCACTCAAGAAGGAGGACAGGACGTACGCGTCGTCGCCGATTGACAAGCTGGCGCTCCTCCAACCTGTCCTGCTGCCGGTGGTTGAGGCGCCAGAGGTCGAAGTCGTCGTGGATGTCGAGCAGGCCGCCTACAAGGGGAATGGGAGGACCGTCAGCGGGGTACAAGTAGGTCACCAGTTTATTGTCCTACCCGCTACGAGTCCAACAGACGACGGCCACGCGAGTGAGCACAAACGCACCTTCGCAGAGTCGCCCACCGGTCTCGCCAGCCGAGTCGACCTGGACGCCGCCAGCGATGACGACAAGGTCGATTGCGAATGGCCGGACCTGCAGGAGCACGAGGTCGAGTCAGCGCTCCGTCTCGCGCGCCCTTTCGCCGCTGCCGGCCCCAACGGGATCCCCAACTCCGTCCTCCAAGCCACCTGGCCTGCGCTCAAGACCCGCCTTGTCCCGCTCCTCGCCGCGTCGCTCCGCCTCGGACACCTCCCGACAAGTTGGCGCGATGCGACCGGCGTTGTCTTGAAGAAACCAAAGAAGGAGGACTACTCCCTCACCAAGTCGTATCGGTTGATCTGCTTCGAGCGCTGCATCAGCAAGCTACTCGAGTCATGAGTCAATCGTAGCAAGGCGCATCTCGCACCTCGCAGACTCGCTCCAGCTCATCCCGCCCAACCACTTTGGCGCCTGACCCGGCCAATCCGCCGAAGACGCCGTCGTCTGTTTCGTGGACGAGATCCGGCGTCAGTGGAGGAACGGGAACGTCGTACTTGGAATCGCCCTCGACGTTGCGAAGGCGTTCCCGTCAGTCCGGACCGAGGTCCTGGTTCAGGACATGATGGAGAAGGGCTTACCGCGCTCACTCCTCCGCTGGGTCGAGTCGTTCATGGCAAGCCGGACGTGCATGCTGCGATTGGAAGGAGTCAGCAGTGAGCCAGTCGAGTGGAGGAGCGGACTACCGCAAGGCTCACCTCTCAGCCCGATCCTGTTCCTCCTCTACAACTCCGGCGCACTCAAAGCGTGCGAGACGAGGTTGTCGACCGCCTTCGGCTGGGTGGACGACTTGAATGTCCTTGCCTGGGGAAGGAACGTTGAGGAGGCGGTCAGCGCAGCTCAGCAGATCATCCCCGGCCTCGAGACGTGGTCGGCAACGCACCACAGTCTCTTCGAGCCCTCCAAAACCCTCATCACGCGGTTCTCGCCCACACGCAACCGCTCGCCCAACGACCCGAAGGTCGTGCTCTGCGGCGAGGAACTAGCGACTCATCAGCACTCGGGATGCTGGACGTCACGATCGACGAGCGGCTCACCTTCAAGGAGCACATGGCGGCATGCGCGTCGAAGGCGTCGAAGGCGCTCGTGGGCGTCGGGCTGCTGGCGAAGAGTCGAGGCGGGCTGAAGGCGAAGTTTGTCCGGCGTCTTGTCGAGGCGGTGGTGATGCCGCGACTGACGTGGTGTGCAGCTGCATGGCACAAGCCGGGAACGACGGTCAGTAAGGGGCTAGAGCGAGTACAGAAGGCCGCTGCTCGCCTCGTCACGGGCGGATACCGCACAACATCTCTCGCCGCCCTCGAAGTCGAGGCAAATCTCCTGCCGCTCAACCTGCGCCTGACCCACCAAGTCCTCCGCCTTGCTCTGCGTCTCGCTTCAAGTCCGTCAGACTCGGCGCTGCATGCTCGCTTCAGCCACACACAGAACTGTCAGATGCTGCCTCCGCTGCAGCTGCTGGTGCTCAACCGGCTTGTAGGCTCCGCCCAGAGCAGCCGGCGCGAGCTCCGTGGCCTGGGGAAAGCAGGAGTCGCTGCCGATAAAGCGCTCCTGACGCTCGGGGCGTTCCTTGTCGACCTCGACTCGGTAGCCGGCACGACGCCCACCACACCCAAACCGACCACACCTACACGCCCTGCGACCAGCACAAAGGTCAGCAAGGCGCCCATCGTCCAGAAATCACCCCCAAAGTCGACATGCTCTGACGCGCCGACCCCGCCCCCGGAACCTCCCTTGACCGCCAGGACGCTCGAGAAGGTCCTTCAGACCGCTCTGAGCCCTGTCTACGCCCGCCTCGACACCCTTGAGGCGTCACGAGCCGCCACCGCGGTGATGCCGCCAACCCCTCCCTCATCACCCCCACAACCCGCCGACGACGACCACGACCCCGGCAACCGCTCCTTTGCGGAAATCGCAGCCGCTCCTGCTGCCCTCGCATCATGGCCACGTCCGTCGCCCATCCCGGCCTCGCCGGAGAAGCCCGTTGCGAACTCGATTGCCGCCAGCAGCCACCTCGTCCACCTCTACGCCCAGCCGGCCCTCTCCGTCGCGCAAGCCCGCCAGACCCTCGGCATACCCGCCTCGGTCCCAGTACGCCAGACCAGGAAAGGAGACGTACTCGTCCACCTCCCAACCGCCTCAGTAGCCGCCTTCCTCCGTTCCACAGCCGCCGCCGCCGGCCTCGCTCCTGCCACCCCTCTTGCGCTGTTCGGGCTAGTTGTGCACGGCGTGCCGAGAACCGTCAAGTCAGAGGACGAGGTCGCTGAGGCGATGGAAAGGAGGGTTGGCGAAGTCGGCGCCGTGAGGAGTGTCCGAGCGCTGCCGTCGAGGAGGGTGGGCGCGCCGTTCGGATCGTACATGGTGGTCCTGTGGAACAACGAGCACGTCAGCCACTTCGCCAGTGACGAAGGACGCCTCTGGCTCGCCCCCACGGTCTGCGCGAGGTGCGAGAGGGCGAGAGGGAAGAAAGAGATGACGCACGAGGCGGAAGCGGGCAAGGCGGCGGAGAGGGTCGCGGGAGACGCAAAGCAGGAGCAGGCAGGTGTGAAGAGCAAGGAGAAAGTCCCAGCAGATGGGCACGAGGTGAAGAAGCGGGAGAAGCGCGAGGAGAAGGAGAAGAAGGACGAGCTGGCGCGCGCGAATCTCGCTAAGTCCGGCCGCGGCTCGCTCGCAACTTCGCCCTCGCTCGTCGGGAACAGATGCAACTTGCCCATTACAACCACTACAACGTCCTCTACGCCCTCGAACCCGTTCGAGCCCATCCTCCCGCCCGGACTGTCCGAGTTCTCCATCAAAAGGCACGGCGACGACGACTTCGGCGCCGTTCTCGACGAGACTGTTGATTCTGCGGGGGCAAAGGGTCAGCAAGTAAGTCCCACACCTAGCGAGTATGCAGCCCCACGGCTACACGCACCTGCAAAGTCAGACGGAGTTGAAACCCGCGTCAGCGAGGACTCCTCCCTTTCCGCAGGCCCGGGAAACGCACCTGTCTCGCCGTCGCGCCGCGCACAGACCACCACCAACCACCACATCGACGCGACGCCATCCACAGGAGCATCTGCCCCCTCAACCTCCAACATGAACCTGGCCGACGACTCCCCTCTTTCGCCGACGCTCGCGGCCCGCCGCCAAGACGCCTCAGCCCCACCCTACCTCGAGTCCGAACCCACCAGCGGAATCTGGTCTCACATCCCGTCGCCGCTCGCCGACCGCCCAACCCAGTACCGTGCCATGCCGATCATCGAGTTCGAGTCGACGCCGAGCGAAGCCAACCAGTCCTGGGCGGACGAGACTGAGAAGGCGTTCCCAACGTCGAAGGCGGCAGTCGTGACAAGCGGGAAAAGGAGGGAAAGCGAAGAAGAAAAGTCGGAAGGGAAAGAGTGGAGAACAGTCGGAAAGGTGAAGACGCGGGTGCCAAAGCCACCGCCAGTGACGGCAAGGGGAGCGATGGGTGCGAAGGGGGAGTCGGAGAAGAGAGTGACGAGGGCGCGACGGATCGTTCAGCCCAAGACGAAGGAGAATCTGCGGACGATACCGATTCAGTCCCGCCCCGAGTCACCCGACCCCCTCGACCTTCTTTCCCCCTCCCAATAAACATGCGAACACTCACCATCACCACGTACAACCTGAACCGCTCCGAAGACAACCTCCTCCGCCTCCTTGCCAACCCCAGCTCCGCAACCACCGACCTCCTCCTCATTCAAGAACCACCCCGAGACCTCCCCGTCATACCGTCGTCGTGGCGCCTCATCATCCCTCCACCAACTTCGCTCCCCGACGACGAACCCGCGCCCATCCGCAACATCATCCTCATCTCGATCTGCCTCGGTCCGGCCGTCGCGACACAAGTTGCGGTCGAGTCAGGCGACGTCACGGCAGTCGATGTCGAGCTGCTGCACGGCGAGAAGATTCGCGTCATCAGCATGTATAACCCCTGCAACGAAAGAGGGAGGGAGGTGAGGTACCTACCTACCTTACAACCACTCCGTCTCATCCGTCCTCCCGCAGCTGCTCGCCTCAACGCCGCGGTCGTTCCTCGTCATCATCGCCGGCGACTTCAACCTGTCGCATCCAGAATGGAATGAGTCAGTCGGCAAAGCGGACGAGGCGGCGGAAGAAGCAGTACGCACCTTCTCCCAATTCAACCTGGTCCACCTCCTCCCGCCCAACACACCCACCTACTACCCACACACCCGCTCGCACCCGCCGCGCCCGCTCGACCTTGTGCTCGGATCCCTGCGCGCAGAGGAAAGCGTCGTCAGCTGCGGTCTCGCCAATGACCTTGAGTCGGGCTCCGACCATTGCCCCGTTTGACTCGTCCTTGCCCTCGAAACCGCCTCATACACCCCACCTCCACGCCGTGCCTTCCGCCGCACGGACCCGGATATCCTTGAGCGTGTCTTCCTCGACGAAGCCGCCCACCTTGAATCCTCACCCCTCCTCTCCCCCGCCGACATCGACACACGCGCGGAAAAGCTCACCTCAGTCCTCCAGATTGCCATATCCGCTGCAACGCCCTTCGGTCGCGCCCGAGCCGGCAGAGTCACACCCTGGTGGGACAAGGAGCTCGCAAATGCAAGTAGGGCGGCAAGGCGCGCTGCCAACCGCGCGTTCCGATTGCGGAGCATCGAAGGGCGCAAGGAGGAATGGGAAGAAGCCTGGCGAGAGAAGAAGAGGCGGAGGAACGAAATCAAGACGATGATGCGGCGGAAGAGGGAAGAGTGGGAGGAACTCGAGATGGCGAGCGTGACGGAGGCGACGCTCTGGACGACGGTCAAGAAGCGGATCAGCAACTCCGCCGCCGCCAACACCTCGACCCCACCGCTCCAAAAGGAAGACGGGACGCACGCGACCTCTCCCTCCGACAAACTCGCCCTGCTACGCCCGCTTCTCCTCCCCACCGTCCCTCCCAACCCTCCCAACGCGCCCACAACTCCCCCTCAACCAGCCGCTCTCCCGCCAACTCCACCCCCACCCGCCTGCAATTCCGACATGTCACCTTCGCGCTGGACGGTACCGCAACCTGCAAAGGCGGATGACGAGAGGAGAGTCAGCGGTGCACAAGTAAGCCCTGAGTTTGTTGTCCACCCCGCTACTCGAAAAGCAGACGATCGCCGCGCGAGCGAGCAAGAACGCACCTCTACAGAAACATCCATGAGGACGAAGAAGACGGCGGCAGCGGCGACAACGGCGACGACGGCAGCAAACGCGACGAAGGCGAAGGCGAAGGCGAAGGCGAGGGCGAAGGCGAAGGCGAAGATGGCGATGTCGACGGCGACGGCGAACGACGAGGCGAAGGGAAGAGGTGAGGAAGGAGGGAGAGGGATGGTTCCTGAGGGTGAGGAACGTCAGCAAGTACGTTCTCACCTGTCGTATTGCAACCCTCCAAGGGCTACGCAATCGAGTCGTTACAGATTTGAATCCCGCGCAAGCGAGGCCACCATCACTCCCGCAGAACTCGAGGAGGCCGCACCGCACGTTCCGCCGACGCCGTCCTTGCCCTGGCCGGACCTGCACAAGGGCGAAGTCGAATCAGCAATCATGCAGGCATGCTCATTCGCAGCGTGCGGACCGGACGACATACCCAACCACGTCCTCCAACTGCTCCTCCCTCTCCTCCTCCCGCACCTCGTCTCGCTCTACCGCGCCTCCCTTTGCCTCGGCTATGTCCCCCGAGCCTGGCGTGACGCCTCGTGCGTCGTGCTGCGCAAGCCAAAGAAGCCGGACTACCGTGATCCAAAGGCGTATTGGCTGATCGCGTTCGAGAGGTGTATCGCAAAGGGGCTCGAGCGAATCGTCGCAGCTCGCCTATCGCATCTAGCCGAATCGTTCGGGTTGCTGCTGCCGTTGCATTTAGGCGGGCGCCGGAGGAGATCAGCCGAAGACGCGGTCGTCTGCGTTGTCGACGAGATTAAGGGTCAGTGGCGCGTAGGCAACGCGGTTGTCGGGCTCGCCCTCGACGTCTCCAAGGCGTTCCCAAGCGTTCAGACGGAGAGGCTCGTAACGAACCTGGCGACCCGTGGCTTGCCCAAACCCGCCTGCGACTGGATCCGCTCCTTCTTGAGCAAGCGGTCTTGCACCCTGCAACTCGAAGGCGTTGTCAGCGAGTCAATCGAGTGGAACAGCGGGCTACCTCAAGGCTCACCCCTCTCGCCGATCCTCTTCCTTTCGTACAACGCGCCACTACTCGAGGCCTGCGAGATGACGTCGACGTGCGGTTTTGGTTGGATCAACGATGTGAACGTTCTGTCCTGGGGCAAGACGGTCGACGAAGCGGTCAGTGCAATGAACCGTATCGTGCCGAAACTCGAGTCCTGGTCAGGCCTCCACTCCTCCGCCTTTGAGCCCACCAAGACGGAAGCGACCATCTTCCTCCCATCCGCGCGCTTGATGCGTACCAACCCACCCCAAGTCGTCCTCCGCGGCCACCGTATCGAGTTCAATGCCACGATGACAATGCTTGGGACGAAGATCGACTCACGGTTATCCTTCCACGACCACACCTCCCTCTGCGCCTCCCGCGCCTCTAGATCCGCCACAGCCATATTGTTACTCGCGCGATCGAAGGCCGGCTTGAAACCGAAGTTCGTCCGTCAACTCGTGGTCGCATGCGTCGTGCCGCGACTGGTCTGGGCGGGTGCGGCGTGGTACGAACCTGCGAAGGGAAGAGACCGAACGAGGGAATTAGCGCGTGTACTCAAGACGGCGGCAATGGCGGTATGCGGTGGCTTCCGCTCCGCAGCAGGCAAAGCGCTCGAGGTCGAGTCCGGCCTCCTGCCCATCCACCTCGAACTCGACCGCACAGTCTTCCGCCTTGGCCTCCGCGCACTGTCTGCGACCCCCGAGCACCCACTCCACGCCCGTACCGTCCGCGCTCGCCGCTCTCCAGCAATTCGCCATCCCTCCCCTCTCGACCGCGCACTCGACTTCCCGCTCCTCCACCACGCGACATTTGAACCCATTCACCCATGTCCGATCCCGCCTTGGTCACCAGACCCAGCACCACCAGTCACCCTCGCCCGCGGTAAGGAGATGGGGACGTACGAGCACACCCAGCTCGTCAAGTCACTTCCCGCCGGCTCGCTCCTCGTCTACTCCGATGGTTCCATGGGCGATTCAGGCGTGGTTGGCGCGGGGATTGCGGGACGGCAGTGGGACGGCGAGTCGAAGGTCGTGTTGGACGAAGGAGAAGAAGTTGAAGTGGAGGAATGGGAGTCGAGGAGCAAGGGTTTGGGTCAGTGTCAGACGGTGTACGCGGGAGAACTTGCCGGGATCCATCTCGCCCTCCAGGCAGTCCAACACACCGCTGACCCTCCTCCTCACATCCTCCTGTCCGTCGACAACACCTCGGCACTCTCCCACTCGACCGACCCGAGCCCGTCGTCTGGCCAATACCTTCGCCTCACGAACCGCGGACTGCTCGAGGAAATCAGACGCACCCAAGTGAGCACCACGATCCACCTCTCATGGTCGCCAGGCCACGTCGGCGTTGTCAGGAATGAAGCGGCGGATCTGGCGGCGAAGGAGGCGGTGCGCAAGCTGGAGTCAGCGGCGCGCGAGCTGGAGTCAGCGGCACGCGAGCGGGAAGAGCGGAGGGGACGCAAGGCGCACCTGAAGGGGCGTCTGGCGTTTGTGCCAGAGATGGCGGAGTTGTCGAGCGGGTCGAGCGAGGAGGAGAGTGAGTGGGAGGACGGCAAGCGAGGAGGCCGGTCGACCCGCCATCTCGCCAAGTCCGACCGCCTCACACAGCTCAGCGACGGCGGCTCGCCAGGCTCTCGCTCCCACCTCCAGCTACACGCCAGCGTCTCAGCGCTATGGACGGCGCACAAGCAGGCGACCCGCGTGAGGTGGGACGAGGAATGGCGTCGCTCCACCATCGGCCGCCAGCTCTTCGCCGCCTCACCGATCGCCTCACGCTCCTCTCGCTACTTCGACGGGCTCAGTAGACGACAAGCAACACTTCTGTGCCGTCTCCAAACCGGTGCTTGTTCCTCTCAACGCCTACCGCGCCAAGTTCGATGCAACTCGCGACCCGCTTTGCCCATGCGGCGAGGAGGAAACCCGAGAACATTTACTCCTTGCCTGCCCACTCTACGACGAGGCTCGTGACTCGCTCCTCAAGCACCTCCGCCTGCGCAAACTCCCCACTGTCGGCCTCCTCCTCGGCAACCCCTCCTACCGCAACCCTCTCCTCGACTTTCTTGACCGCACCGGCCGTTTCCCGCAACTTGCAAGGCCGCCAGAGGCGGACAAGACGGATAAGGAGTAGCGGTTGAGAGGAGATGCGAAGGGAACGCTCGGACGACCCGACATCACCCCCCCCCCTCCTCCTCCACTCCATCATCGCACCTTCCTCGCTCAAAACCGCGTCAAACCGCCTCCAACGCCTGCACGGCCTCTCCGACACCCCAACGGACTCCACGTTAACCCCTCAACTCGACCCGACTTTGCCGGAACGCCTCACCGCCGCCCTTCCAGACCAAGACCAAGAAACCTCATTTCTCGCTCATTTCGCAATCCTTTCGCTTCGTTTCAGTTTTTCCTGACTGATCACGACCCCCTCCATTCGTCTATCAACCTCGCTCAGCCCTGCGTCCACTCGCTGTCGTTATACTCCAATTCTTGA